CGATCCCCAGCTGCTGGTGAGGGTGCCACATGGCACGCAGACCTCTCTTGCTGCGCCCGCTGCTCCCCTCAGCAGTGTACTTCATCTGTCTGCCTGTTCTGTTCCTCGCTCTGGCTCTGGTGAATTCTCTCACCCTCCTGCGCTTCTGACTGTACCCAGTGCTTATATAAATAAATAAATAAATAAATAAATACATCTTTTTTTTTAAAAAAAGACAAAACTAGCAGGCAAATTATAAATCCAAGACATATGTCAGGGGAGGGGCAAAGAGGGGTGTCAAAATGAGAGTGAAGAGCACAAGGGACTATGGTGACAGTTGACGGGTAATGTGATGATGGGAATTTCACGGGGATGCTACCCTTAGGGGAGAAATCAAACATCGTACAAATATAAACAATGATGTAAAAAATAAATATATTTCAAAATTTAAAAAGAAAAGAAAAAGAGGTAGAAAGAGGAAGGTACCTAATCCAAAAATTCTTGGGACAATCACTCAATCTAAGTGACTAGAAGGTTTCATATTCTTCATTCTTCAAAGGCTTGCCACAGAATTATGCACTTGATCGCTAGTTGATTTCCGGCATAAAGAAGAAACTGACTCATATTTGCCTCAGAATAATGAGGCATGAGCTCACAAATTTTAATTCTAAAGCTGCATTGAATTAAAAAAAAAAACCCTGCCAATACAATGCAAATTTAATATATATAGCAAGAGATGATTTCTAAGCCTTTCTTTCTAACCAGAATGCATCAAAGTGGCTGGAAAGTCATCCATTGTAAAGTCATCCATTGTAAAGCCAAACAAAGATGCTTCATCTCTCATCTTTCACATTATGGGTGAAAATGGAGGTAGCCAGCTGAAGAAATCAACAATCACTGGCCTCCGTGAGCTCAAGGAATTTTCAATTTCAGGCCATTGGTATCAAGGAAGAGGAAATTTAAAGAATTGCACTCAGCACTCACACTAATGTCCACAGTGTGTGTCGATATAGGCGAGCAGGCACTGGGGAGAAGTCAGAAGGTTGTCAAAGCTGATTTTAAAATACTGTATCACCGTGTTAGCAAATATTTCATTATGAGCTGGAACTCTGCTTTGGCGTGGTGGTGTAAACAAACACTATATTTAAACTTTATAGATGAAAGTTTTCCTGATATTTTGGATAATGCTTTAAAGACAGGGTATCGGAGGAGATGTGAAAATGTAGAAAATATGAAATAGACACTAGCGATGTGTAAAACAAATTTAAAATAATAAGCAGCAAGCTACAATGGATTTTTGTGCCTGAATTATCCAATGCAGGCATTTATGTATATTAAAGTTACTGTCAGTTCTCCATAGTGCTTTTATGCTGTATAAATCTGGTAATAGAAGGACCCAGGGCATTAATATATTATTTATTCATTTATTTGCAAGATTTATCTAGCACATAGTCTCCAAATAGCTAACGGCACTTTGCCAGTTACTATACTTACAATATTTAACATTAGGACCTTGGAAATAAGCAAGTAGGGAATTATGTAGGATATCCTTGCATATCATCACTATGTAGAGGGTCAAAATAACATGGACTGAATTGAATGAATTTCAATTAGAAAAAAAAAATGAAAGACAAAAGGGGAAGTGATCCAAACATTTTTAATTTATATTTTGAAGAATTATAAATCTGTGTCCCTAAAGATATTAAAATAATGTTAATATTGGATAGAACAGCATATGAAGACACTAACCTTGCCTGGAACTGATGCTGATCAAATTTCAAGGTCAGTTTACAGTCAGGTGATAAAATGCAAATAGGCCTAAACAGAGCAACATAGAAAAATTCCAATTTCTTTTATTTGTGAGAAAGTGTCATCCAGGTCTCATTGTTGGCTCTGTGAGCCCTTCTGCTTATTTTCCCAGTTGTCTATGTGTACCTCTTCCCCTGAATTTATATACACCAAAGTCCCAATACTAGCTAGAATGTCCCACAATGCCACATGTGGCTTAAAAAATGAGATTTTTGAGGCCCAGGCAGATCAAATAAGATGGCCAATGCAATATCAGCCACCAGTGGAGGCAGAATCCAGATCCTACAGCAAAACATCTAGGGGACACGAGAGAGCGAACGTATAGAGCAAATGTAGAGAGTGAACATAGAGTTAGGTCATGGTGGTTCCAACATTGAAGGTCAATTCAAGGAGTATGTGTTTACCTCACAGTTCCAATTGATTTGTTCCATTTGCACTTCGGTCTTTCTTTCCCAAATAAGGGATGGGAGGGGATTGGGGAGGTTGGGGATGAGGAACTTCTTAAAAATAATACAAGCAAGAGAAGAAATCTATTTTTCTAAAATAGGGAGAGAATTTCTGTCTCCAGGTATTTCTTGTTAATGAGAGAAACATGGTTACCTGCCTCTGGCTTTAAAAGTATCTTGTTAAAGGGAGTTGGGAATTTTGTTCTTACCTCACAGAAGAACTAAAGTTACTTGAGGCTCCCTATACCTGCTTTTCTATTTGTACCTCTTTGGAAATGGCTCGTTAGATACTGCCAAGGTCTTGGAAAGACTTCAAACCACAACTTTTCAATAACAAACCTGAGTTTCTGGGACCTTTCTGTGACAACTGCCTGTTGATCTGGCTAGGATTTTTGTTCTATGTCTGAACTCTCTCTTTGCAGATAAAGTTATTCTGCTTGCCAGTTTTTGCACCTTAATATTCCATAGGGATTACGACAAGTTCAGCAGACCTCTTGTTCAATGCTACTGCATTTGAAACCGCTGCCTGCAGCTCTGACTACCACATCCAAGGCTGTGTCTCCCTCCTGCCTCTTCCCTGAGAACTGGCCTTTTAACAGATTTAGCAAGGAGGGCCAGTTTGATTCTGAGGACAAATATGCTCAACCTGGAAAGTTTCTCCTCTACATTTAATAAAGGGAAAGGTTTTGTGTCTAAGAATTCTTGTGGAAGATGCTTTCATATTATTCCCTCTTCTTCGTGACTTATCTTTTTTGAAACACAGCCCACAGGAAGGTAATTGTGGGAGGAAATTATGACTAAGTCTCAACCTTCTAATTAACTACCTGCTTGCATTTAGGCAACCCTTTATGTCTTTACATTCTTTTTGTCAATTTTGGTAGTGTATTTTATATAACCCAAAATAACCAAATGATCATTTTGACATTTGATCAATATTTTTTGAATTGCTAATTAGATAGTTTGCATTCTCAGCTATTAGGAATGTCAACTTTTGAAAAACTGTTGTGTATTTTACACTTAACAGTACAGGCTGGGGTGAACCACAATCTTACATACCTGGAATCTCTTTAAATTGCAGATTACTGACATCAAGCTGAAGGTGATTTCATAGGTACACTGTGGGCAATATCTGGAAGAGGGTTTGGCAAGAATTTTAAAGGGGTAGATATGTGCAGACCAGTGCAGGCATATAGTGGATTTACAGTTACAGGACAGGAACAGCTTTTTATTTTGTCCTTTCTTCTTCCTCTTTCTATGTTTGCTTTTGCTGACTCCTTTATTTGCTCAACTAGCTTGAATTAGTGAATTCTGTCTACAGTTCAGGTACTATGACTGTTCCTTGGGGTTTGGTTTCAAACATTGATGACACAGATCCCCGTCCTTAAAGAGCTTATCAAATCAGCAATGACCCTTTGAAAGCCTTAACAAGGACATCTATTGATATATGGGCTTTCGGTAGCAGAGAAGACTTCCTGGAGGAGGTGATATTTCAGATGAGGGCGGAAAGGCTGGAGGAGGCAATTGTAAAAGAGAATATCCATAAAAAGAGAATAGCTTGTGCCAATGCTCAGGAATAAAGCCACACTTGGGAATTCAAATAGCTGCAACATTACAGAATGATGGAGAGGGGTCCAGCCATGAGAGTGTTCAGGAGCCTTTTGAATCATATTCAAGATCTTGCTCTTTATCCAAGATTCATCATTGAACAAACAATGAATTGTTGTTACTCTCCATATTTAAGGAGAGCAAATCTGTCGGGCAGGTGTATGGGGAATAGGAATCATAACTTTCCATTTTGAGATCATTTAGACTGATACCCCCTTGCATGCATATATATATATATATACATATATATATATATACATATATATATACATATACATATATATATGCATATGTATATGTATATGTATGTATCTCCAACATATTAATTTTGACTTTACGAAAATATTTAGTTCTCTCAAATAATTTCAATGGTTATAAAATATAAACATTGTGGTAAAAAATAAGTCCCTCCAAAAGGCTATTGTTATGATTAGATATTAATTATTAGATTTTAATTATTAGATATTAATCATAATGAAGATTGTGACTCATCATGTTAATTTAGTCAATTTGTTAACTTCTATATCCTAAGCTCTCCATACTTCCTGGATATTCAAACGGTAAAAATTAATTTATGAAAATTAATTCCATCAAAATTAAAATAAATCAATTAATAGGAAATTTTCCAGAAGAAAGATTTCCATCGGTGCTGTTGTTGTATTTTAAAAAAGTTTTGTCATTTTTATTAAAATATTTCAGTCCCTGTTGCTGTGACTTCTTGATGGTACCAACAGTATTTAATTAAGTTGGCCAATAAAGATTTTTTTTTACGGGCTCTGTGCTCACAGATACCTGCTTTTATTTCACTTTTTTCTCCTTCTCTTTTTCCTCTGTCTTTTCTCCTTCTTTTGCTATTCAATACAAGTCACCTTTTCTCCTTCTTTTCCCAAGCAGTCTCTGGCACTGATTTTCTCAAGCTTTCAAAAATCATTTCAAAGTCTCTTCTTGCTTATTTTTGGATACAGACTTTCACCCCCAGGGAATTAATTTCCTGACCTCTCCTGGCTCCTAATAACTAACACACCCACTCTAAGCCACATCTATCCAATTACAGTTTATCCATAACCTTTGGAAATTAGTTAAAATTACTGAAAAATATTTGTCTTTTATTTACATGGAAATAGCAAACTAGCTTCATTTCCTGGCGTTTCCTTTTTTCAGATTAAACTAAACAATGTCTGTACTTCATGCTTGAAGAGACCTGCAATAGATAATTTTATGGCTTTTCTAACCAGATACCCATGTGGAGGTATGTCATGATTATTCATTTAAGGCAGGTATGCATGTAGTTAGAGAAATCTTTTACTTTTCAATGACGTAATTAGTAGTAACATTAAATCCAAAGGTCCCTTTTATTTATTTTTTTTAATAACAAGTGTTTCTATCATGCTATTTCTGTCTGAGAACTACACTCAGTGTTCTGCAATTTATGTTTTAGCCTCTGTAATGTTAGCGTGATATTAATAAATGCATGAAGAGTTGCAGGAACGACGTAATTACAGTGGCAAAGTGATAAACACACAACTATTTTGCCTGGTAATGTTATGTATTTAACAGGTTTATTTGTTCAACAGTTCTAACTTTAATTATATTTTGCCATTTGGGATTTTTAGACATAACAATCATCGCTCTTCTCTGCCTATTAGTCTCAGAAAATCGCATTCATTATAAAAATAATGGTATTTGTTTATTTAATTTTTTTTTCTTAATGCCTTACTGGTAAACTAAAAGATAAGTTTCCTTGCTGCTGGTGTTATGTGACCCATTTGGATGTGAAACAAATCATTTCCCATTCCTGTCTATGTGAAAGATGCCAACCAGAGTTTCAACCCCTGGCCTGCTGGGTTATAAGGATGTTCTGAGTTCTCGCAATCAAACTTGGAGGTAGGTGCTTGTCCTTAAGACCCTGATCACACAGAGACATTTCCAGTGCTTTTGGAAGTTAAGAAAAAACTAAATGGCCGCAGAGGGCCAGTCTGCAACCAACACGTGAGGCCTTCATTCTCAACCTCTGCAAAATGAACTTTCTGAAATTCTGCCCAAATATGAAAAAATTTGGGGTGGACTGAAGGAGGTAAATTTGTAAGAATGAAATGAGCTCATTTTATATCAGTTACAATTTAAGAAAATGGACTGCCGGCTCTTTTGCGAAGTGACCATAGTGTGATGAGTATTTCTTATTCTGGGTTTATGCAGGATGCAAAGGAGGCTCATTTCTTTTTTTAAGATTTATTTCTACTTATTTATGCATATAAGAACTGGGGTGTAGGACAGAGGTACAGGGGGGCAGTGAGAGAATTCGGGAGACAGTGGGGAGCAGAACAGGCAGATCTACTGAAACACACTGCTGAGGGGAGCAGTGGGTGAGATAGGGGAAGTCTGCTGTGCCATGTGGGTTAGTTCCCTGGCCAGAGATTGAACTCGTGCTGCAGTGACTGGAGAAAGTGCTGAGACTTTAAGCCCTCTGCCACCAGGGAGGCCCCTGAAATGCTCATTTCACAAGCCAAGTTCCTGCTGTGGTTACTTCTTTCCATAGAAGCAAGTTTTTTTTTATTCTTTTTTTTTCCTCCATAGCTGTCCTAAAGACTCATTTTATCTGGCTTATATGGTGTTACTGTTGTGGGGATAACTTCCACACAGTCACACAGATCTTTGGAGTATAATGTATTTGTGTAACTTCTTCCCAAATCACCATGTGGGGAACCTGTGCACCCCAGAAGATTTACTCATAACCCCCTCCCATCATTCCCTCTTCCTACAGAGTTATGGGTCTAGAGTTGTTTACTTTTTTGATAAAAAGAAATTTAAAGTTTAAAAGATGGTGATGGTTTTCTGGTAAGAGACTGGTTTTGATTTTATTATTCTGGGATCCAAAGTGTATAAGTCCAGGTGTTCATGCCTGACAAACAGAACTACAAAGCACACTGTAATAGAAGAGATGAAAGCTCTTCCTCCTTCATCCATTAAACAAGCATTCACTCTAATACCGAAAACGTTTTACATTCTGGAAATAGAGTGAAAAACAAAAAGCCCAGGACAAACTTGGCCCTGAGGGTCTTGTAGCTACTGTGGTCTGGGCTAGTACTATAATAATGGTAACAAAGGTGTGTGTGCATGTGGCACATATGCACCCACATGCAGTTTTTATATATTTTATTCCTTTTCCCCGCCTATACAAAATTAAAAAAAAATATGACTTGCTCATCTCCTTGCTGAATGAAATCATTGGCCTTAATACCTTCTGCCCACCCAGGCATGAGTTGAAAGGCATCCTGTAGAAGCCGCCAGGTCAGCAAGCAGGTTCTGAGCGTGGAAGATTTATTAGGAGTTCTTTCATCTGCATCCTGTCTTCTCGTGATTCGCTCCTGACTTTTTGTTTAACCTGGTCAGTCTGGTGCTTTGGGGCCTCTTGCAGTGGTCCTTTAAAAAATGACTTAAGTATCATTGCTGTACAACTGTATACAGGTGATAAACAAAGTGACAGAAAAAGGTTCCTAGCAGAGCTAGGAGGATGGTGATAGTCAGGTCAGGCATACCCAGGTGGCCTAGCATGACAGGCCATGCGCAGACGCATTTACCCAGAAGACAATGAAAGCACATGACAAGCCACGCCCAGTATTGAAATTAGACCAATCACAGCATGATACACTTTCCAGGCTTTTACAGGTATTGTAACAAATAAATGGTAAAATATGGGACTTAATGTATATATAGGTTTATATATATATATACACACACACACACATGGATTTATTACATAACAATATATTTATATATTATTTATTACATACATTATAGATAGATTTATTACACAACAAATATAATATATATTATTATGGAACTTTATATATATTATATTTGTTGTGTAATAAATCTATCTAGCTATATATAAAGTTCCATGATAATTTACTCTGTCAGAGTATGAAACACACACACACACACACACACACACAAACACATGTATTCTTCCACAAATGCAAAGAACACTCAATGTGCAAAAATAGGAAATATAATTATCTTATGTTCTCTGGCTAATGGTGCTAGCACAGTTCTTCAAATATCCTATGCCCAGTCAGAATTAGAAGAGTATGGAGGAATATATTTAAAGAATATATTATGAAAGAGAACGCAAAATATCACACTTCAGAATCCAGAATGTTTATTCTACCATCATTTTGTTATTTTCCTCCACACTTGTGTCAGTTAGAAATATTTGCTTCTGTTCTATCTCTCTGCAATTAGTTGGGTATTTATTTGCAGAATAGAGAAGTTCAAACTAATACCATATTCATGGAAGACCGCTGTGCCTATTCAAGCATATGAAAAATGGAGTAATCTATTACATGCAACTCATCTTCCCCTTATTCTGTTTTTTATGAATTTTAGGTTATGATTTACTTTTCCCTATGACATAATCTTGACCATTTTGACATTTTGGAGGATCCACTGCATTTGACCTTACAAAATGACTACCTTCTTGGTTGCTCTTTGTCTTGGTTGTTATTTACACCACTGCACAGTTTTCCTCCATTGTGGTTGGTGTAGGATGTGTGGGGTGCTTGTTGTGCCATACAGAAAAGGTCATGCTAAAAATGTACCCATCTCACAGGTGAGCCTGTTTTTTCAAATTATGTCTATTGAGGTAATGTCGATTATACAACACTGTATGTGTTTTCAGGATTATAGATTCAAACCTCTACAATTGTATGTTTTCACACCATGCCAACAAGCAAACACCCAATAATCCTCTGCCATACTCCATTGGACCCCCTCCTTCTTTTGTTTCCTATTATCCCACTCTCCTCTTCAAGTAGTCTCAGGTAAGCAGTCAAATGTCAGGGGTGAGTTATCGGTTTGGTTTTGTCTCACCCTTTGTTTTGTTTCTCTATATTTTCCATATGTAAGTTAAAACATCTGGCATTTGTCTTTCTTATTTTGACATACTTTTAGCAGTACCCTCTCCAGTTCCACTCATATTGTTGCAAATGGTAGGAGTTCATTTTTAATAGCTGAGTAGTCTTCCATTGTGTATATATACCACATATTTGTAATGCAACCTTCTGTCCTTGGGCACTTAAGTTATTTCTGTAACACGGCTATTATAAATAGGGCTGCAAAAAACATAGGAGTGCCTATACCCTTTCACATTATGTTTTTGCTTTGTTCAGGTAGATACCAAGGTATAAATTGATGGTTCGCATGACAGATCTATTTTCAGTATTTTAAGACACTCCATACTATTTTCCGTAGAGACTGAACCAATACATTCCCACCAACCATGTACACTTGTTGTTTCTGGTGTTTTTGTTTTTCTTTTTTAAAGATTTATTTATTTGTTTTATACAAGAACCAGGGTACAGCCCGATTTGCCGGAGGGTGAGAGGATTCACCAGAGACAGAGCGAGGAACAGAATAGGCAGACTGACGAAACACACTGCTGAGGGGAGGAGCAGGCGAGACTGGAGAGGTCTGCTGCACCATGTGGGTATCTCCATCACAGGCTGGAAATAGAACTGGTGCTGCAAAGGCTGTGGAGAGCTTCACAGCGCTGCGATCAATCACCTGTACCACCAGGGGAGGCCCTGTTTCTGGTGTTTTTAATGTGTGCCATTCCCCTAGGTGTGAGTTGGTATCTCAGTGGTTTTGATTTGCATCTCCCTGATAATAAGTGATGATGAGCAGTTTTTCATGTGCTTATTGGCAATCTGCCTGTCTCTAGAGAAGTGTCTATTTAGCTTTCTGCTTATTTTTAATTGGGTTAATGATTTTCTTTTTGTTGAGTTACAGTTCTTTATTTTTTGGATAGGAGCCCTTTGTGAAATGTATGATGTGATATCTTCTCCCATTCAGTAGTATAAATTTGTGTTTTACTGATAGTTTATTTCACTGTGCAGATATTTTTATGTTTAATATAATCCCATTTGTTTATATTTACTTTTGTTTCTCTTGCCATTAGGAAAGAATCCCAAAGACATCTCTGAAGCTAATGTTGTGGAGTGTTTTGCCTGATTTTTCATCAATGTATTTTATAGTTCTGGGTCTTATTTCCATGTATATAATCCATTTTTGAGTATTTTTTTCTGTAAGGTGTGAGGGATAATGATCTAATTTTGTTTTTTTGTATGTAAATGTCCAGTTTGCCCATACCATTTTTAAAGAGACACTCCTTCCTCCAGTGTATTTTCTTGACTGATTTGCTGTAGATTGTCTATAGACAATCTATTTTATTTTATTTCTGGACTCTTCTATTCCACTGGTCTGTGTATCTGTTTTTGTTTCAGTACCATAGTGGTTTTTTTTTAATAATAAATTTTATTTTTATATTCCCCCGTACAATTGCAAACCCCCCATTCTGACCCCAATCCCTCCCCTCCCGCCCCCCACCCCTCAAAAAGTGTCTCTGGCTCATAGTTTTTTGTTGATTTTGATTTTCACTTTCTTATAGTTATTCATTTTCCTGGTCCCTTATTAAAGTTTTCTAGATTCCTGTTATGAGTGAGACCATCCGGTATTTTTCTTTTTCTTTCTGGCTTATTTCGCTGAGCATGATCCCTTCCAGCGCCATCCATGTTGCTGCAAATTGCATGTGTTTATCTTTTTTGAATGCTGAGTAATATTCCATGGTATATATGTACCACATCTTCTTGATCCAGTCATCTATTTTTGGGCATTTGGGCTGTTTCCAAAGCTTAGCTATTGTAAACAGTGCTGCTATAAACATAGGGGTGCAGGTGTTCTTTGGAATTGATGTTTCTGTGTCCTTTGGGTAAATACCTAGGAGTGGAATTGCTGGATCCTATGGAAGCTCTATGTTTAGTAGGTCCAGAAATCTCCACACAGCTCTCCATAGTGGTTGGACCAGTTTGCACTCCCACCAACAGTGCAGAAGAGTTCCTTTTTCTCCACAACCTTGCCAGCATTTGCTGTTGCTAGTTTTTTTAATATGTGCCATTCTCACTGGTGTAAGATGGTATCTCATGGTAGTTTTGATTTGCATTTCCCTGATGACAAGTGATGTTGAACATTTTTTCATATGCCTGTTGGCCATTTGCATTTCCTCTTCAGAGAAGTTTCTTTTTAGCTCTTCTGCCCATTTTTTGACTGGATTATTTTCTTTGTTGTTGCTGAGTCTCATCAGCTCTTTGCAGATTTTTGTGATCAGTCCTTTATCACTAGTGTTGTGTGCAAAAATGTTCTCCCAGTTGGTGGGGTTTCTCTTTGTTTTTGTTATTGTCTCTTTTGCTGTGCAGAAGCTCTTTAATTTGATGTAGTCCCAGCTGTTTATCTTTGCCTTCACTATCACTGCTTTGGGTGATGTGTCTGTAAAGATGTCTTTGATATGCAAATCACATAGTGTTTCGCCTGTATTTCCTTCTATGTATTTTATGGTTTCAGGTCTTATGTCTAGTTCTTTAATCCATTTTGAGTTGATTTTTGTGTATGGTGTGAGGTAGTGGTCAAGCTTCATTCTTTTGCATGTAGCAACCCAGTTTTCCCAGCACCATTTATTGAACAAACTTTCTTTGCTCCATTGCATAGTCTTTGCTCCTTTGTCAAAGATTAGTTGACCATAAATCTGTGGGTTTATTTCTGGATTTTCTATTCGATTCCATTGTTCTGTATGTCTGTTCTTGTTCCAATACCATGCAGTTTTGATGATTATGGCTTTGTAGTAGAGTTTGAAGTCTGGGAGTGTGATGCCTCCATTTCCTTCTTTTTTTTTTCAGTAGAGCTTTGGCTATTCAGGTTTTTTTGTGATTCCATATGAATTTCATCAATAATTGTTCTATTTCTTTGAAGAATGACATTGAAATTTTGATTGGAATAGCATTGAATCTGTATATTGCTTTTGGTAGGATGGCCATTTTAATAATGTTTATTCTTCCAATCCATGAGCAGGGGATGTCTTTCCATTTCTTTGTGTCTTCTTCTATTTCTTTTAACAGTGTTTTATAGTTTTCTTTGTATAGGTCCTTTACCTCTTTTGTTAGATTTATTCCCAAATATTTGATTTTCTTTGTTTTGATACTAAAAGGGATTTTTTTTTTATTTCTTCTTCTTCAGATTTATTGTTTGTGTATAGGAAGGCTACTGACTTTTGCGTTTTGATTTTGTATCCTGCCACTTTACTGAATTGATTGATGAGTTGAATTAGTTTTTCTGTGGAGTTTTTAGGGGTCTCTATGTATATTATCATATCATCTGCAAATAGTGATAGTTTGACTTCTTCTTTTCCTATTTGGATTCCTTGGATGTCTTTCTCTTGTCTTATTGCTCTGGCTAGGACTTCCAGTATTATGTTGAAAAGCAGTGGTGAGAGTGGGCATCCTTGTCTTGTTCCAGATCTTAATTGTACCATAGTGTTTTGATTACTATAACTTTGTAGTATAGTTTGAAGTCTGCATTTATGATACCAGCAATCTTCCCCATTTTTGGTCACATTTATTTTGGCTATTTGGGGTCTTTGTGGTTTTTATCAATATCAGTATTATTTGCTCTATTTCATTTTTTAAAGATTCATTTTATTTATTTATGCATACAAGAGCTGTAGTGTAGGTCAGAGGTGGGGGGTGGTTGAGAGGATTCACCAGAGACAGAGTAGAGAGCAGAACAGGCAGATTCACTGAAATACACTGCTGCTGGACACAGGGGTAAGACAAGAGAGGTCTACTGCACCATGTGGGTCAGCTCCTAGGCTGGGGATCGCACTTGTGCTACAGTGGCTGCCAATGGCTTCTAACACTTCACTCCTTGTTAACAGTCTAAGTTTTAACCCCTTGTCATAGTTCTAAGAGTTAACACCTTGTGCCACCAGTTAGGCCCTATTTGTTCTATTTCTTAGAAGAATGAAGTTGAAGCCTTGTTAAGCCTTTCTTTAAATCTGTGTATCGTTTTGAGTAGGTTGGTTGTTTTAACAATGTCAGTTCCTCCCATCCATGAACAAGAAATATCTTCAATTTTTTGTGTTTTCTTCTGCTTTAACAATATCTTGTAGTTTTGTTATATAGATACTTTACCTCCTTTGTTAAATTTACTCTTAGGTATTTAATTATTTTATTGCAGTCATGAGTGGGATTGCTTTCTTGACTTTTTCCCCTCTTTAAACTGTTTGCATATAAAAATATGACTAATTTTTGCAAGTTGATTTTGTTCCCTTCCACTTTATTGGATTGATTTATTATTTCAGATATTTTTTAGTATACTCATCAGGGTTTTCTATGTTTATTATCCATATTATCTGCAAATAGTCATACTTTTATTTCTTTCCCAATTTGGATTCCTTTTATATGTTGAGACTTTTTTTTGAAATAGGTATTATCTGTGGATTAGATTAGAGTTCCAAACTCAAGGGAAATAATTCAAAATGATTCTTCAGAAAAGAAATGTTTTGGTGAGAAATCTGATGTTGCTTAATTTTATAAAGTATATGATTTTCTTCCAACGTGGGTTTGGTATTTTTATAAGCACAGCACAGCAGTAAATATTGCCTTCATCTGTTCTCAAAATCTTCTTTTAGAAGCTGGATGCCTTTCTTTCAGGAATGTATTTTGTATATCATAATTTCAAATTGTTGTTAGATACACATAGTAAACCAGTTTTTGACATTCTCTCCTATATCATTTAGTTGTTTGAGCAATTATTTCTCAAGTTTGTTTTTAAAATTTGTGACTTCTTTATAGTTTTCATTTCTCATCACTTGGCTACACTAGACTTTATTATCTGAGAATGAGCTGATGTTTTCCCATGGCAATTTGCTACAGTAAAATAAGAGTGAGTTGTGCTTAGTATTCCCCTTTCAATATGTGCCTATGCTTATATTTTTGCAGTATGTTAAAGTATGCCTTTAAAATTTTTAATCAGAATTCTTTTGAGCTTTCCTGACATGTTGATATATGAAAATATTATCAGCATAATCTTTTCTGGTAAAGTCATGAATAGCAGTTTAAAATAATAAGCATAAACACAATTAATATTTTCCTTTAAAGTGAAAATTCGTAAGAGTGCATATAAGCAAAAGTGGAAAGAAAAGGAATAACACTGTAATGATTGTCCTTTAGCTATTCTTTCATATTATTTACACATTAAAGAAAATTTAAAGCAATTTACACATTAAAGAAAATTTAGAGGGCCTCCCTGGTGGCACAGGAGGTTGAGCGCAGTGCTTTGAAGCTGTCTGCAGCCTCTGCAGTGCCGGTAAGATCCCTGCCGGCCTTGGAGCAACCCACAGGGTGTGGCAGACCTCTCCTGTCTTGCCTGCTGCTCCCTTCAGCAGTGCATTTCAGTCAGTCTTCCAGTTCTGTTCCCCGCTCTGTCTCTGGTGAATCCTCTCACCCTCCCACACATCTGGCCTGTACCCTGGCTCTTGTATAAATAAAAAAAAAATTTTAAAAAAGAAAATTTAGAGCTGCCATTTAGTTTGATAACTAAGAAAGATAAAGGATGAATGAAAAATGAAGCAATCGGGCCACTATTAACTAAAGATTATTGAAGTAAGATAGGTAAAATAAGGTGTGAAGAGATATATTTCCTAATGTTGTACCCTCTATGAGTGCCGTTTGCACTTGGGGAGGAAAACTGCCACGTGCACTGTATGTGCAAATAATGAAAACATAAATTCACAAACTGAAGAAAGGCCCTTATATGAAACATTTGAGTGTCATCACTTTTCTGCTCTACACAATCCGACATTTATAATAAGTATATTTCTGGGGAAAAATGAGCATGAAGACTGTAATAAAAATTCCATAAAAGGCTGCAGAGTGTATGAAATTCACAACCAATAACGACCAAACAAAAATCTTTACTTTTGCGCCAATATAATTTTTAGCATTTCAAACTAAATACGGCTTAGTTTGCACTAAATGACTCTGCACGTTCCGGTTAAAATTGGAAATGGCATGGAAAACTAGTTGAGTGGATTCCTAAAAAAATATGAAGATAATTTCCTCTCTGATAACCAGTTGATAGTGTAAGCAAAAAGTACATTTAGACTATGAAATCTGCAAATAGTGAATGATTTTTGCTGCATGAATGTTGACTAGTTGATTGACTGAATAAGTTTGGTCCAAAGGAGAAAGGTTTGGGCCTCCCCTGGTGGCGCAGCGGTTGAGCACTGCGCTGAGAAACTGCCTGCAGCCTCTGCAGTGCCGGTTCCAGCCCCGGCTGCGGGCAAGGGTCCCACATGGTGCGCAGACCTCTCCCTGCAGTGCTCACTGCTCCCCTCAGCAGTGTACTTCGTCAGTCTGCCTGTTCTGT